TTAAACCAACAAAAGTAAGCAAAGACAAGGATGGCCACTTTATAATTATTAAGGGTAATACTCAATATGATGAGATCTCAATTATCAATATCTATGCACCCAACCAGAATGTACCTCAATTTATAAGAGATACTCTAACTGGCATGAGCAACTTGATCTCTCCCATCTCCATCATAGTTGGAGATTTTAACACTCCTTTGGCAGTGTTGGATAGATCCTCCAATAAAAAGCTTAGCAAAGAAATTTTAGATTTAAATTTAACTATTCAACTTTTGGATCCAACAGACATCTACAGAACATTTCATCCTAACAAAACTGAATACACATTTTTCTCATCAGTCCATGGAACATATTCCAAAATTGATCACATCTTAGGTCACTAGTCTAATCTCAGCAAATTTAAAAGAATAGAAATTATTCTGTGCATCTTCTCAGACTATCATGGAATAAAAGTGGAACTCAATAACAACAGGAATCTCCAGACTCATACAAAAACATGGAAGCTAAACAACCTTATGCTGAATGATAGATGGGTCAGAGACGAGATCAAGAAGGTAATTACCAAATTTTTAGAACAAAACAACAATGAAGACATGAGTTATCAGAACCTCTGGGGTACCGCAAAGGCAGTCCTAAGAGGGAAATTTATAGCATTGCAAGCTTTCCTCAAGAAAACGGAAAGAGAGGAAGTTAACAACTTAATGGGACATCTCAAGCAGCTGGAAAAGGAAGAACATTCCAATCCCAAATCCAGCAGAAGAAAAGAAATAACCAAAATTAGAGCAGAATTAAATGAAATTGAAAACAAAAGGATTATACATCAGATCAATAAATCAAAAGGTTGATTTTTTGAAAAAGTCAATAAAATAGATAAACCTTTGGCCAATCTAACTAAGAAAAAAAGAGTAAAATCTCTAATCTCATCAATCCGAAATGGTAAAGATGAAATAACAACAGACCCTTTAGAAATTAAAAAAATCCTTAATGAATATTACAAGAAAATTTATTCCCAGAAATATGACAATCTGAAGGAAATTGACCAATACTTGGAAGCAAGCCACTGCCCCAGACTTAGCCAGAATGAAGTAGAAATGTTGAACAGGACTATATCAAGTTCTGAAATAGCATCAACTATACAAAATCTCCCTAAAAAGAAAAGCCTGGGACCAGATGGCTTCACGTCAGAATTCCACCAAACCTTTAAAGAGGAACTAGAACCTATATTACTCAACCTTTTCTTTCTTTTTTTTTTTTTTT